TATAATCCATTATTTTTTAAAAAGTAAGATATTTGCGTTTCTGGTTTCTAGTCCAAACAAAAATGCTAAAACCCTTATACAATAAAGTTATGGATATAGGATAGTTTAGCATAAGATGGTTTTCATAGTAAGGTCATATTCTTTTGCTGTTCTTCTTCTTAATCCTCACCTGAGGATATTTTTCCCATTGCTTTTCAGAGAGTGGAACGGAAGGAGAGCGGGGGAGAGAGAGAGAGAAACATTGATGTGAGAGAGACACATCAATTGGTTGCCTCCTGCACACCTTGACCTGGGGTGGGGAGCCAACCCGCAACCCAGGTACATGCCTTTAACTGAGAATCGAACCTGTGATCCTTTATTGTGCCATCTAATGCTCTACCCACTGAGAAACACAGGGCAGGCCATAAGGTCATTGATTTCAGAGAGGAAAGGAGAGGGAGGATAGATAGAAACATCAATGAGAAGAGAATCATTGATTGACTGCCTCCTGCACAGGGAGATCAAGCCTGTAACCCGGGCATGTGTGCTTGACCGGACTCGAACCTGGGACCCTTCAATCCACAGACTGATGTTCCATCCACTGAGCCAAACCAGCTAGGGCAGGTCATATTCTTGATAATGAATATTTAAATATCTTGAGAAAAATTTGTGGTAAGGGACTTAATAAATGAACTTGACCTTTAGCAAGTTACTGTACCTTTGTTAATTTTAGTGTTCTAGTTGTGAAAATGGATTAATAACTCCTATGTAGTCAATAACTTTAAAAATTCTACTCTAAAATAATATATGAGTTGATCAACCTTGGTGGACTACTACATTTTGTGCAAGCGGTGGCTCAGGTGCAGGCTGCGAGTGCGAGCAGGGCTGGCGCCAGCAGCAGGTGCAAGCGCCGGGCAGGACCATGGCACGTGGGAGCAAAGAATTTTCAGTAACCACCAGAGGCTCACCCCAATAACAGCGACCAGTGCCCTGCCTTGGTCTGGCGCCCCCGCTCACCTGCTCCACCATCCAGCCATGGTCAATGCCTGCTATGTTCCGCACATGCCCCCTGGTGGTCATTGCATGTCATAGCGACCAATTGTTCCGGTTGTTCCATTGTTCTATTTGCATGTTAGCCTTTTATTACATAGGATTCTTATCATTTGGACTATGATTTTAAAACGTCTTCTTTCATATATGTATAATAATGTTTATATTTACATAGTACTTACAAAGAAGTACTATTAGATTGTTGAAACAGATAATTATACCCATTTTATAGAAACAGTGTTCTGAATTGTCTTAGTCTGCTCAGGCCACTGCAACAAAATACTGCAGACTATATGGCTTAAACAACAAACATCTATTTTCTCATAGTTCTGGAGGCTAGAAGTGCAGGATCAAAGGGTGCTAGTGAGAGTTCTTATTCTAGCTTGAAGATGGCTAATGGCTGCTTTCCTGCTGTGTTCCCAAATGGCCTTTTTCTGTGCATGTGAGGAGAGGAAGAGATCATTGGTGTCTCTTTCAGTTTTATAAGGATACCAGTTCTATCCACCTTTATGATCTCATTTAACCTTAATTCCCTCCTAAAGACTTGCCCTTCAAATACAGTCATTTTGTGGGTTAGGACTTATATGAATTTTGGTGGTACACAATTCAGTCCATAGCATGAATCAGAGTTATTTACATTTTACTTCCCTGGCTGGTGTGGCTTAGTTGGTTGTAGCATCGTTCTGTACACCAAAAAGTGGTGGGTTCGATTCCGTCTGGGCACATACCCAGGTTTAGGATTGCATCCCTTGTTGCAGCATGTGTTGGAGGCAACCAGTCGATGTTTCTCTCTCTCTTCCTCTCTCTATATAATAATAATAATAATAATAATAATAATAAAATAAATTTTTCTCACAGATAATGTTGTAGAAGGATCCAATACAGATTCTATTATTAATTTATTTTGACCTTGAACAAATCTAGAGATTTATGATGTTGGGCTAAATGTTTGCAATACCTTCTACTTTGTAAATGTATGTAATTATAAGTACTGAAAATTTGTGTATATATAAAATATTGTGTCTAGGCATTGTGGGGGATACTAAAGTTGTTCTTTTTCTTCAAGGAACCTATAATCTAGGTAGGAAGATAAGGAATAGACAGAAAACTTTTTTCTTTTTCTTTTTTTTACCTTCTAATTACACTGAATGATACAATAAATTTTAAAGAAGTTTAGAGAAGGGAGAAAAAAATCATTTTGGTGTGTCTTTGGATGAAAATTTCTAGAAAGAAAAAAATGAATCCAGAGTTCTGTGGATTAGACTTTTGTGAAAACTCACAGGTAGTGGGTAAAAAGCAAGAGAAGTAACAGGAGAGGTACAATCAACATGTAAGCGGTAAACATGGATAATGAAGGTAGAGAAGGATTTTGAGAGGCAGGGCTTCTCACCTGCATTGAATATTATTTGTAGATCAAGGAAAATGAAAACTGAGAAAGATTATTTATTTGGATAAGTAGGTGAGTCCTTGATGATGCAGAGTGTTTTTATATAGTGTTGTGCATAGAAGTCCAATTTAGTTGGCATTAAGGAGAGGGACTGGTAACGTTAATGGGTATGAGCCGCTCTTAAGGATTTCCAGTGGTTCTCAACCTTCTGGCCCTTTAAATACAGTTCCTCATGTTGTGACCCAACCATAAAATTATTTTCATTGCTCCTTCGTAACTGTCATGTTGCTACTGTTATGAATCGTAAAGTAAATATCTGATATGCAGGATGGTCTTAGGCGACCCCTGTGAAAAGGTCGTTCAACTGCCAAAGGGGTCGCGACCCACAGGTTGAGAACCACTGATTTAGGCAATGAAAATAGTCTGAGGGGGCTGCAAAGTCAACTGCAGGTTGTGCCACCCTCCCCCGCCCCCAAGAAGTTAGTGGAATACAGAGGAGCCTGAGGAACATTAGAGTCAAGTTCTTCACATTTCAAGAGTAAATGTTAAAAATGAAATGCATTAGGACATTTTACTTGTGGACTGTTTCTGTAATACACTCTTCATTTTTTTTCTCAGCTTTGACATCTTTCTATAAAAGCATGATATTTTACTTACATGTATTTTTAAAAAATCATTCTGTAGAGTGTCCCTAGTTGTAACAGAAACTGTCGATGCAGGTTTATTTGGAGAAGGAATTGTGGAGAGTTTGATTCATGCATGGGAGCATTTACTTTTGCAGCCAAAGGTAAGCAGCATGAAATTAGGTAAATTTGATATAGAATTCATTATTTTAACAGATATTCATTGAGCCCCTATCACAAAGAAATCTATAAAAAATACACCCCACAAACACTAACATAATGCAGTGTATACTTGTGTGCCCAAATGGGGTATACAGGCAAAAAGGAATTCATAGGAATTGAGATTGTATCGTGAAGGGACTGACTGACTATTGAATTCTTGAGTGAGATTGAGAAAGGAAGACCTTTCAGTCTCACAGCCCTCACTGCTTGAAATTTTGGCAAATTATTGAGAGTTTGGAAATAACTGTCTTGGTATGGTTTTAAGGCACTAGTTTGACCCAGGTGACTAATTAACTCTTGTAATTGCCGAATTATATTTTGCATTAAAATCCTTTACAGTGGCCTACAAATTGTAGATTTGGTTTATATAATACATATTATGAACGAAATGATTTTAACATGTAATTAGAATTCACTATTTACAGAAAGTGGTTTGGATTTAAAATAACTAATTAAAGGTTGAAAAGAAGAGCAGTTTGTTTTTCAAGTAGGTAATAGTGATTTTGGCTTCTCAAGTCAATATCCAGTAGTTTTTGCCGTATGCATACTTATACCCTTATAACTCCCCCTCCCTCCTTCCCTTCCTGTTTGTATTGTTAAAAAAAATGTATATATAATATACATAAGTACATACATAGAACAATGAAAATAAAATAAACTTTTTTTTTTAAAATATATTTTATTGATTTATCACAGAGAGGAAGGGAGAGAGAGAGAGTCAGAAACATCGATGAGAGAGAAACATCGATCAGCCGCCTCCTGTACATCCCCCACTGGGGATGTGCCCGCAACCCAGGTACGTGCCCTTGACCGGAATCGAACCTGGGACCTTTCAGTCCGCAGGCTGACGCTCTATCCACTGAGCCAAACCGGTTTCGGCAATAAAATAAACTTTGAAAAAAAAACATAACCTGCTTTTTCTTACCTATTGTTCTTTAGTTTTCTATTAATTTTTAGATGTTGTCATTATATATTTTTGCATAAATGGAACTGAATCTGATGTTTATTGTTATATTTTTAGACCAAAGGTGAAAATGGTAACAATGGAAAGTATGGGAAAGTTATACCAGCAAGTGCTGTTATATTTGGCATGGCAGTAGAATGTGCAGAGATAAGAAGACATCATAGGTAAGTGATTATTGAAATACCAATTACTTAAAAAATTATAATTTAAAGGATTGACTATACTTTAAAGGTTAATGAATATTTATTTGAAAGAGAATTTGTAGTTTTCTGACCTTTAAATTCATGATGTTTATTCAGATCTTAAGTTTCTTTTTGAATTTTTTAAAACTTAGGATTCTAGGATTAAAACCAGCTTCAATTTCCTAGTGGAAAATTAATTTTGATACAACTTATATCCCTTTCCTATGTGATAGATTCACATAGGAAAATATTAAGTTCACTGATTTTAGATGAACGTAAAGTAAAAATTTCCAACATGAAAATAATTTATTTCTCTCATTCGTTCTTAATAACTTTATTAATAGTAAATGTTTTGTGATTGAGGTGAATGAAGTTTAAGGATCTTTCTACCCATGAGATGCTAAGATTTACTTATCAACTATGATATAAAGGTTTTTTTAGTTAAAGAAGTTTCTTGTTTATGTGTTCTTGAGCATCGTGAATGTTTTATTTTGCTAAAATGTTGATCTGTATTTTCTGAGGACTTTTTAAGGAGGCACCCCCCTTCCAATTACTTATTAGTAGTAAATGTAACATAAAAATATTTTAGGAAATACTGATGGGTGAAAGAATAATCATCCTGCCCTTGGCCTATGTGGCTCAGTTGGTTGGGTGTCATCCTGTGCACCTAAAGGTTGCCAGTTCAATTTCTGGTCAGGGCTCATGCCTGGGTTGGGGCTCAATCCCTGGAGAGGATGTGCAGGAAGCAGCCAATTGATGTTTCTCACAGTGATGTTTCTCTCTCTTCCTTCCTCTCCATTCCCCTTGCTCTAAAAATCAGTTGGAAAAAAATCCTAAAGAAAAAAATCATCCAGATAATTACTGTCCATCTTTATTATATATTCTTCCTTATACTTTTCTATGCATATTACAGGTGATATGTAAAAACTATGTAGTGATTGGTAGGGCACAATGCGCTGACCACATAGATAGTGGCCTTAATCAGAACATTGGCTGAATTAGAGTATACTGGTTGAATGTTAGCTCTGTGTAAGTAAATGTGTGTGTGTAAATTATATTTTGTTTTCAAAGTATCAGTAAATATATTTGCTTTTTCTTTGTTTATTGTCCATTTGGTTATGCTCTTTTGTGAAGTGTCTAAGTCTTTTGTCAATTTCAGTTTTTCTTTTATTAATTTGTAGGAATTTAAAAATATATTTTGGCCGAAACCGGTTTGGCTCAGTGGATAGAGCGTCGGCCTGCGGACTGAAGGGTCCCAGGTTCGATTCCGGTCAAGGGCATGTGCCTGGGTTGCGGGCACATCCCCAGTGGGGAGTGTGCAGGAGGCAGCTGGTCGATGTTTCTCTCTCATCGATGTTTCTGACTCTCTATCTCTCTCCTTTCCTCTCTGTAAAAATCAATAAAATATATAAAAAAAAAAAAAAATAAATAAATAAAAATATATTTTGGATAGGAGCCCTTTGTTGAATAGATGTATTACAAATTTTTCCTACTTAATGGCTTGACTATTTCCTATCTTACTGGGTACCTTTTTTTTAATCGTCACCCGAGGATATTTTTTTCATTGATATTTTAGAGAAAATGGACGGGGAGGGGAGAGGAGAGAGAGAGAAACATTGATGTGAGAGAGACACATCTATTGGTTGCCTCCTGCATGCGTCCCCTGACAGTGGTCAGGGATCGAACCTACAACAAGGTATGTGCTCTTGACCTGGAATTGACCCCATGACCCTTCAGTCCAGAGGCCAACACTCTAACGCAGGGGTGGGCAAACTTTTTGACTCGAGGGCCACAATGGGTTCTTAAACTGGACTAGAGGGCCGGAACAAAAGCATGGATGGAGTGTTTGTGTGAACTAATATAAGTTCAAAGTAAACATCATTACATAAAAGGGTACAGTCTTTTTTTTTGGAGAGTGGCTCCACGGGCCGGATCCGGCCCGCGGGCCGTAGTTTGCCCATGGCTGCTCTAACCACTGAGAAGCTAGAGTTGGGTATCATTTGATGGGCAGAAGTTCTTAATTGTAATGTAGACCCATTATCTGTTTTCCTTTATAGTTAGTGATTATGTATATAATTATGTTTAGGAAAACTTTGTCTCTGAAGTTTTATTTTATTTTTATGTTTATTTTTGATGGATCCAATACTAGATGATGCTACTTGATTCTAAAAAAGAACCTCATCTTTTTTTCCCCCTCTCTTATCTCCTCTTTCACCAGGGTGGGCATTAAGGACATTGCTGGGATCTGTTTGCCAACAAATGTGAAATTTCAGAGTCCAACTTATTCTTCTGTAGATACCGAAGAAACAGTTGAACCTTATACAACTGAAAAGATGAGTCGAATTCCTGGTGGATATTTGGCTTTGACAGAGTGCTTTGAAATTATGACAGTAGATTTCAACAATATTCAGGTAAAAAAAGTTCAATTACTGTTTTTGAGCATTAAACTTTATCTGTTGTTTAAAATAATTAATACATAGGACAGTCTTATTTTAGTTTGCATGGAATTCCATTTAAAGAAAATGATTAAACGGTAACCAGAATTCCCTCCTGAAATTATTCACTTTTAAAAAAAGAGATAAGAAATCCCTAACATTTGTTGGGACTGTCTAATGTGCCAGGTGTTTTCACATGTGTTCTTAGGTCGCTCAGGCAAGAATCTTGTAATACGGTTGTACTTATCTGTGTGCTATACAGATGAAAGAACTGCGGCTTACATTAACGTTCTGTAAACTACGCAGCATGTGAATGTAGGGGCAGGAGTTCTATCCTAGATGTTTCTGATTTTTCTTAGTGTTTTGCTGCCATTTCAAATTAACAGTTGACTCCTCCAAATGAATAGTAATCCACATCTCTGGATTGTATGATTTTTAGGGTGACTAGCCATCTCGGTTTGCCCAGGAGTAAGAGGTCCCTGAGATGTGGGACTTTTACTTTTAAAAATGGGATAGTCTTGTGTAAACCAGGACAAGTTGATCACCCCAGTGCCTCTATGTGTGTGTTGCTGAGTGGTGGAAGGAAGTGAATATACAAAGAAAGTGTCCAAAGGAATCGAGAAAAGTAACAACATCCTTCTCTGAAGCTCTTTAATTAAGGTTAAATGTTCAAGTATATACATTTCTTTAGATGAAACCTATCTGGGGACAGAAGACTTTGTGAGGGTCATTTTAGCCTAAGATTTTTATGATTTAATAAAAGCTTTCTCCTATTAATTGTTACCAGCTTTTTCTTGAAGTGATCTAGAGCTAAGTGAACATTTTGGCATTGCTTGCTAAGGCTGAGCTTCAAGAACATTTTTTTCCTGATATCACATAGAGAACAAGGTGATCACAGCTGCTAAGTACCCCAAAGCTATCCTTTTCTTAGGTTCAAGCTTTTCTTATTTTAATTTTTCTTTGACACAATAAAAAATACATCTTATTAAGTCTTTAATTTTGAAAGTAATATCTGCCTGTTTAATACTTTAAAATAATACAGAAGAATAAAAAGGAAAAAGAAAAAGTGTCTTTTTAAAAAAAACAAACCTTAAGTCCTTCTTTCCCCAGGTTACTGGTTTCAAATGCATCTTTTCAGACTTGCTTTTCTATTCTACACACACACACTCTCTCTCTCTCACTCACACACTTTTTAAAAAACAAAACAATCTCTATTGCTTTGCCACTCACACTGCCTTCATTCAGCAGTAAGGGAGGGGCAAAAGTAGGTTTGTAGTGCTTCATATGGAAAGTAGTAATAATATCAGAATGAACTCAGTGTTTCATGGACTCACAGCTGTAAACCTACTTTGCCCCACCCTGTTTAGCATGGACTTCTTTCTATGTCAGTACTATGTATCTGCATCCCTGTTTTTAATAGCTGCATGTATTCCACTGTGATACATCAGAGCTTCCCATCAGTGTGCCCTAAGTGGTTTCAGGAGTGCCAAGATATCAAGTCCCCGGGGCCTATGGCCAGACTGAGTACTTGCAGAAATGGAAAGTGATATGATATTGGGATATGCAAATATTAAGTGTATAAAATCTTTTTATATTTTTGTAGGAATTAAAAAGTCTTGCAACTAGAAAACCTGATAAAATTGGTGTTCCTGTTATTAAAGAAGGCATACTAGATGCCATTGTGGTTTGGTTTGTACTCCAGCTTGATGATGAACATAGTTTGTGCACAAGTCCTAGTGAGGAATCATGTTGGGAACAAGCTGTCTACCCCGTACATGACCTTGCAGGTATTACCTTGTCTAATTTTTTTTCTGTTCGTTTTCTTACACTTGTTGTTTTAATCCTCTAAGCATTTGAGGCATTGTCAAAAAATCACTTTGAAGTTTCTAGTCAAGGGAGACTGATGACAGCACTGGGAATTTTCTTTTTCTATTTTAAAAGTAGCTTTAAATAATATATATGTAGGTTGATAAGAGAAACTAAAACACAACTCTCCTGCATACTATTCAAAAATATCTGTCATTGCCCTGCCTGGTTTAGCTCAATGGATAGAGCATCAGTCTGTGAACTGAAGGATCCTGGGTTTGATTCCGGTCATGGGCACATGCCCGGGTTGCTTGATCCCCAGTAGGGGGTGTGCAGGAGGTAGCCTGTCAATGATTCTTTCTCATGATTGATATTTCTCTCTCTCTCCTTCACTCTTCCTCTCTGAAATCAATAAAATATGTATTTTTAAAAAATCTATCATTAAATCATTTCTCCAGCAGTAGATAGGAGCAATGCTAGCCCATTTTTAATAAAACAGAAAAGTATTACTTTTTAAAAAAAATATATTTTTATTGATTTTTTACAGAGAGGAAGGGAGAGGGATAGAGAGTCAGAAACATCGATGAAAGAGAAACATCAATCAGCTGCCTTCTGCGTGCCCCCTACTGGGGATGTGCCCGCAACCAAGGTACATGCCCTTGACTGGAATCAAACCTGGGACCCTTCGGTCCGTAGGCCAACGCTCTATCCACTGAGCCAAACTGGTCAGGGCAAAAAATATTACTTTTAATGCAGGAGTTCTTATCGCTTACAGAACCTGATGGCATCTGTGGAGCCCCATGTCCTAGAAAGGCACACACTCATATAATAAGTACACAAGTTTGTAGTTTTAGAGAGTTCATGAATCTATGGATTTCTCTAAGGAAATTCTATATTAAAGATATTTTTAGTATAGAAAAATTTTTGGACCAGCAATTTGATGGGTTTCAGTATATTTCACAGCAGTTGTAGTGCATAGAAAAATTCTGCTTTTTAAAGTGGTTACTTGTTTTTCCTAATCAAGGATCTGATTTGGCATAGTTATTAAGTCATGAAGTCAGCGCAGGGTTGTGGCTAGTGGTGTTTTTAGACTCAGTTGTGTAGATTTGGATTCACGTCTCAGTTCTGCTACTTTCTGACTCCCTGGCTGTCCTTGCTGGTTATTTTTCAGAGCCTCTGTTATGAGATGTGTAAAAATGGGATGCTGCTGCCTCCCTTGCAGGATTGTAGTAGGGATTAATAGAGATGATGGATGTAAAATGCTTACCATAGTGATTGGCACTTAAATGATATTTTCTATTTGTGTTTATTTATTTTAAGCCTCTTACAGTAACTTAGACACATGGTCTTTTTGTTTTTAATCTTTCTTGGGAAAGGACATGTTTAAATGTTTAAACACAAGAATAATAATTTGTATTTTCAACTGCTTTAGTGCTGATAAGAGATTGCAATTGTACACTCACATTTTAAAGTTTTATTAAGTGAAAACTAATGGAAAAGAGCATGACACAGTTTATTGTAGGACTTATTCTTTCCTTATATTTTCAAATATGCAAGATGGTTAAGAGATATTACTGATATGGTTCTAGTGAATACTGCTTTTGTTCTTTTTTAAAAAATATATATCTTATTGATTTCTTACAGAGAGGAAGGGAGAGGGATAGTTAGAAACATCGATGAGAGAGAAACATCGATCAGCTGCCTCCTGCACACTCCCTACTGGGTATGTGCCCACAACCAAGGTACATGCCCTTGACTGTAATCGAACCAGGGACCCTTGAGTTCGCAGGCCGACGCTCTATCCACTGAGCCAAACCAATTAGGGCTGCTTTTGTTCTTTTAGAAATTACTTTTAGAGAAAAGAATAATGGCCCTTTAAGCTAACATAAGGTTTCATATTAATCCCTTAATTTCATCTCTCTTTGTTATTGTCAGCTTCATTGCCCAAGAAAATTGAGAGTTCCCTGTAGCCCTTCCCACCTCCAGTTTGGGGACACAAAGGATATCTAATGATTGTAGGGATAGCACTAAATACTGATAGTTACGGTCCAATACTGTAACTCTTGAATCTCTGTATTAGATTGAGTTAATTGAATCTTTAACTTCAGTATTTCCCTTTGTAAAGCTGAAGAGATTTTCCTAGGGTTTTTTTTGTGTGTGTGTGTCTGTGTGTGTGTGTGTGTGTGTGTGTAGGAAATTATTAGATTCACTCACTTAATTCTATTAAATTAATATATATAACCCTCCCTGCAGTGATTTAAAAAATGGGGAGGGTTGGTGGAATGGGAGGACAGATGTGTTTATGTGATCATAAGGCTAATAAACACTTGTATTCATCAATTATAATTATTTTCTTTCTTTCTTATGAAGACTACTGGATAAAGCCTGGGGACCATGTGATGATGGAAGTGTCTTGTCAGGATTGCTACTTAAGAGTCCAGAGTATCAGTGTCTTCAGTTCGGAATATGAAATGGATGTTGGACAAAGTTCTACCAAGAATAAAGACTTGCTCTCTTTAGGAAATGAGGCTGACCTCTGTAGTGCCCTGGCTAACCTTCAGACCAGTAAACCAGATGCTGTGGAGCAGACATGTGTACTGGAATCCACAGAAATTGCTTTGCTGAATAACATTCCATATCATGAAGCCTTCAAAATGGCAATGAGGAAAGTGCTGTCTTCACTGACCCCAGAGAAGCTGTGCCAGGCCGTGGATGCCCACTGCCAGGACAGTGAGATGAGCTGTGGAAGTGGACAGAATGATTCTGAACAGAGTGCCTCGGAGCCTTTCTATGTGCTAGATGTGTCTGAAGGCTTCTCTGTTCTGCCTATAATCGCTGGCACATTGGGGCAGGTTAAACCTTACAGTTCTGTGGAGAAAGACCAGCATCGCATCACTCTGGACCTCATATCTGAAGCCAATCACTTTCCTAAGGAAACACTTGAGTTTTGGTTGAGACATGTGGAAGACGAATCTGCTGTGTTGCAAAGGCCCAAATCAGACAAGTTGTGGAGTATAATTATATTGGACGTCATTGAGCCATCTGGGCTCATACAGCAGGAAATAATGGAAAAAGCTGCAATATCCAGGTAAAACACAAAATATAACTGTTGGGTTTTTTTTTTAACTTAAAGTTCATGTGAATTCTTTTAGTTCTTTAATGGTATAACTGTACAAATGATTCATGATTTTGTATCTTCCTCAAGCATTGCTTTTCAGGACCTGTGACTTCAGACCTTTCTCTTTGTGTGCATGTAATTACTGATTTTCCCCCTCAAAGGATCCCCTCCACCGTAGATGTGAAGAAGAGTGAACCTGCTTTGGGATTGGACTGCCTATATAATAGTATAATATGGAAAATAAGTAGAGATCTATAAAAATAGATATTCAAGGTAACTAAGAAAAAATCAAATTTCAGCTTGCTAATTTCTTTTTTTTTTTTTAATTTATTTTATTGATCTTTTACAGAGAGGAAGGGAGAGGGATAGAGAGTTGGAAACATCGATCAGCTGCCTCCTGCACACTCCCCACTGGGGATGTGCCCGCAACCAAGGTACATGCCCCTGACCGGAATTGAGCTTGGGACCCTTCAGTCCGCAGGCTGACACTCTATCCACTGAGCCCAACCGGTCAGGCCAGCTTGCTAATTTCATAGAATGGTATCCTCTCGTGGCTATTTGGGGTTAAAATTTTATCGGGTTTAGTAAAGGCATAGATAGGAATTTTGTTAAGGGCTGTATAATTTTTTTTAAGCTGTATAATTTTGTTACGAGGTCTATAATTTTACCAATTGTGGAAATTCAGTTTTGCTGGAGATTCCAGCAGGTCATAAATGCAAGAACTTCATCAAAAGGTTGATGGAACTTGAGGCTTCAGCAGGGCTGAATCATATTACCTGCTGCTGGAATAGCTGAAAGCATTTCCCCAAACCTGAAAATCTGCATATATTATTGCCTGCTGCCAGACAGCTGAGGGCAGTTCCCCCAATCTGTAATCTTACTGTTTACCAAACTTTACCTTGATATATATATCTGCTTTGCTATAGGGCAAAATGTGTTAATAAAAAGATAGGGGTCCAGAGATTTGGGGAACTTAGTTACTAAAGCTAAGCCTTCCCTGGCTCCCCTGAAAAATGCCTTCCAAATTTATATTTCATGTCTAGTGTACTAATTTACTCACAGCCCCTTCTCCAGATTCCTGAACCCTTCTAGATGCTGAGAATGACCTTGGCACAGTTTCTGCTTGACTACTTAAAATGATAAAAAGTTAATAGGAAAGAGTAACAAATATGAGTAAAGCATTGGGGTCAAGGTAGAGTCCATTTTTAGGCTAATGTGTATGTAGGATTTACTACAATTTAAATGATCATGTGCTCATATTTACTGAGATTATCCTGGTTTAGGAGCATGGCTTGTTTCCATTATTCTGGTGCTATTGTATTAAGGAATCATCTCTAACTTCCCTTGCTGATACTGTGCTCTTCAGATTACCTGTACATGATTTGGCCTTTAGGGAGAGCTACTACGGAGCAGCCTGCTTGCCTATTGAAAACTTTTCCATCAGCTTTTTATCTGGAAAAGTCCATTAGACTATTTATAATTTGTAGCTCACTAATTCATCTTGATTTAGTTGTTGGTATTGATAAAATGTGGGGCATCAAGATGCTTTTTTTAAAACACTTCTCTTTCTCTAGGTGTTTGCTACAATCTGGAGGCAAGATTTTTCCTCAGTATGTGCTGATGTTTGGGTTGCTCGTGGAATCACAGACACTGGTAGAAGAGAATGCTGTTCAAGGAACAGCACGAACTCTTGGATTAAATATAGCACCTTTTATTAACCAGTTCCAGGTAAGTGCCCAGAAGAGAAATTCAACCATGTGGCTGTTATCCACAGTCTACCTTCTCTCTCTCTTATCTTATACAGTCACTAGTGGCCCGGTGCACAAAACTCGTGTACGTTAAAAGGGAATTAATTAGAGGAAATATTTTAATATTACTATTTGCCCTTTCTCTAATAGAAGTGTCAGAGATGAGAGAAAATTAGTAAAATGTATATGAAAATCTCCCTCCTGTCAGTCTGGGGCGTGATGCAGGACCCAGAGTCAAGTCCTGGTCCACCTGCATGCGCCTTGAAATCACGCAAGACCCGGACCTGGCTGACCCCACCCTCATCAAGCCCCGCAGAGCGGGGAGCGCGGCCTCAGGTCCCCTGGTCTGGTGCTGGGGGGGGCGGGTGCAGCCTCAGGTCCCCTGGCCTGGTGCTTGGGCAGGGGGCAAGGCGCCAGGTCCTCTGGCCCAGGGGCGAGAGTGCGATGACCATTTGCATATTAGCTCTTTATTAAGTAGGATTGTGTTTAGCTGGATTAGGATCATTATCAGTTTCCTAGAGCAAAGGAACTTATGGATAAAAATCAACCTAAGGAAGGATGGATGCCTTCAAGGATGTCCAGGGAGAGGTTAATGTATCTGTGTCTCTAATATTTTATTCAGACAGGATTTCAGAGAGGAGGGGAACAGGAGAGAGAGAGAAACATCAAAGATGAGAGTGAATCATTGATCAGCTGCCTCCTGCACGCCCCCTTCTGGGGATTGAGCATACAACCCTGGTATGTGCCCTGACCTGACCGGAAATCGAACCAGGACCTCTTGGTTCATAGGTTGACAATCACAGAGCCACACCGGCCAGGCAGGAAGGCACTTTTTGTTTCCTTTTAATTTCAAATGAGGCGAAAGTGATGGGACACTTCATAGCAGTTAGTTGTCAATTTTGACTCTGTAGTCATGTGCCCCATATGGTGTTCAGTCACCTAAGGACCACATATCCAACAGTGGTCCCGTAGGATTGTCATGGAGCTCAAAAATTTCTGTTGCCTAGTGCCATCATAGCCATGGTAATGTCATAGAGCAACGCATTACTTATGTATTTGTGGTCATGCTGTTGTAAACAAACCTACTGCACTACCAGCCACATGAAAGCATCGCACAGTTACAGTAGTGGGCTGTACCATCTAGGTTTGTGTAAGTGCACTCTGTGATATTTGCTAATGATGAATTTCTCAGAACATATCCCCTTGTTAAGCAGTGCATGACTACTTTCAGAGCTCCTGGTAATTGGAACCCAACTCCAGATCAATCTGATGTGTGGCCTGAATGGTCAGATTTTAAAGCCTCCCTAGGTGATTCTAATTTGTAGCCAAAGTTGAGAATCCTGCCTTATAGAAATAAATTTTATTTTCAAACAAAATCCACTATTAAGTTGTTTGGTTGAATTTGACATTTTCTCAAATTCAATAGTTCATGTTGTACTATTAGCTTATTAGTTCAGCTTTCACACGTAAGACATCCTTGGTTTAAAAATTTTGAGCTGTTTGGCTTAAGTAAAAATTTAATCTGTTTCCATCGAAGCAAGGAATCCATAGATAATTGAAACCATGGTTTAAACAAATGATTTAACCTGCCTAAACTTTAAAACCGGGATCATGAAATTCCTTTTACCTTAAAATTGATCTAAGAATTGAGCTAAATGAAAAAGCATTGTATTGTACTGAGCCAAGTACAAAGTAATCAGTTGGCCATAAAAAGAATTGAATAAAAGTGAACAATTTGTACTTTGTTTAGGTACCTATTCGTGCATTTTTGGACCTGTCCTCACTGCCTTGTATACCTTTAAGCAAGCCAGTGGAACTCCTAAGACTGGATTTAATGACTCCATATTTGAACACCTCTAACAGAGAAGTAAAGGTAACTTAAAATAATTACTCTTGTCATAACAGAACAATTATCTTAAACTAGGTAACACTTTATGTACATAAAATTGTTTTAGCCACTTCCTTTGAAAATTTAAATGTTTATTTCTTTTCTGAACAATATCCAAAAATGGGCTTGGGTAAATAGAGTAAAATAGGTTACTAATTAAATATATTTATGAAATTTGGATCTAATATTGACTAACAAAGGCAAAGACTTATTCAAGTCTTTTTGTTCGGATGAAATTCTCACGATTTCTTAATTTTCCTAGGTTCACATTTGTAAATCTGGACAAGTGACCGCCATTCCATTTTGGTATCATATGCATCTTGATGATGAGATTAGGTTAGATACGTCCAGTGAAGTCTCCCACTGGAAACAAGCTGCAGTTGTTTTAGATAATCCCATCCAGGTGGAAATGGGGGAGGAACTCGTGCTCCATGTCCAGCACCACAAAAGCAACGTCAGCATCACAGTGAAGCACTGAAGAGCAGTTTTCTGGTGAAAACCTGTTTACATAGAGCAAATACACAACTTTTCTGGTCTGAGTAGTGTGACTGTAATCATAAAGTGGGGGATATAAAGACTTAATTCCTTGTATTGATCAAATTTTTTTTTAAATTGACCTTTAATAAAATGTATGTAAAAGATACGTTATGTAGTAGTATTATTACAAAAATATTTGCTGCAGACTTCCTTTCTGAAAAAGGAAGCAAATCATTAGTTTTTACATTAGGAAAACTTGGTCTTTATTGCTTAGTTTTACTCACTATAGATTAAATTTTACTAAACACTTTTACTTATGTGCTAAAGCTATAAAGGATTTTGAATCATCTTCATTGCCATGCTTTATTTGCCCGGGCATGTGCCCTTGGCCAGAATGGAACCTGGAACCCTTCAGTCTGCAGGCCGACACTCTATCCACTGAGTCAAACCAGCCAAGGCTTCATTTTCATGTTTTAGAAAGTAAAGCAAAACTTTTAATATTTAGGTATCTTGGCTTTATTCCTTAAGCCCTAACTTATAATTGGGAACATCAAAAAGTTGGCTTCCACTGAAGACTGAGGCTATGGTTACTTGTAAATTATAAGCTTGCTTCTTTTAAATACTGGGTGTACTTCTGAAATAACTTCTTAGGTTTTGTGATTTGGGAATGCAAAAAGAATTTAAACTCTAAGCTAAATGTAATTAAGCGTAAAAGAGTTAGGAAAGAAAGAAAATCTTACGGCGGAAGCATTTTTCCTGGTCTGCTTTGGCAAAGAAAAAATGAAAACGATAAATTCAAGAAAGAATTAAACCTATTGTTCGAAGGTTTGATTTGGATGCATAGTAAGAAATATATAATAATTGACCTAATTTTTAAAGACTTGAAATAGATTAAGATGATCATGCTGTGTATATACTATGTGCTATTTGTAACTAAGCCTTAAAGAAAATAAGATATACCTTTTTTCCACATTGCTTATTCTCATTACCTCTAATATTATACTACCCGGCTTTACTTTCAATAAAAATGTTTAGTTTATAATAGTGGACACAGTAAAGGCTTTGTATGTAATTACTGTGAACCAGTATATATGTGAATATGTGTGTGTATAAGTATGTAAAGTCAGGGTTTTGACAAATACTGTTGCTACTTGCAACATACGACTATGGCACTTTCTATATTTCATTTTTGGTATAAATGTTAAATATGACCCAGAAACTCCATCCTAAGTAATAAGGTTCGTAGCACCTCCATGTCTTCTGATTGTGGTTTATAAGTTTACATTAGCTGACACCTTTAATAACACTGAGGAAAAGTAGACTCCTTTTCTACTACAAGTTTCTTATTCTTCCAGTCTTCAATCCAGTTTATTTTTTTCATCTTAAAGTCACAGATAATATTAATCTATTAGCGTTATTGCAAATGATTTTTAGATAGTAGCTGTTGTAAGAGTAATAAGATTAGGTCTGAGCTATTTATCCTAATAGGAATATAAGAACTAGGTATCTTTCATTGTAGGCATATAATTTTTACCCTTAATTTTTCTGGACTTATTTTATGCTATGCCTCTCCAATCAAGACCTTTTTGTTAAAATATTAATGATTTCTGTTTAAAGAATGAGAGACATAAAGTTGCAGAAAATGATAAATTATTATTTATTGAAAGACATCCAGTTGAGAAATATATGGCACATGATTATGATTACGTTCCACTAATTCCTATACTTTCTGAATTATACTTTCTGCTAATTCCAGAGCATTATTTTCATGCAGCAGTGGTAGGAAGCATTGATTATTATTTTTTTATGCCCATCCTCTTGATAAAGCATGTAACATCAAGAACTTTTAGTATAGTCATTTTCTACCATTTGAGTATGCGATACTCTAATGTGAACAAATCTTAAGAGTCTTAAGTCTAGGATATTTAGACTGGTTATTTGTGACATACAAAATGTAGTTATATAAAACCAGTAGTACCTGGCTTCCGCCTATCTTTGTGTTGAAATTTTCCCATCATTTATGGCTTGTCCCAAGCACAAACTCCTGAGCAATGTGATACCAGGTATTGAAGTAACAGTAGTGCAGTGTGTGTTCACACACTGTTCAGGAGACCACGGGTTTATCTGAAGGTTCTCTTTCTTCTGTAGTATCATTACGTATTTCATCAGATATATCAGCTATAGTAGGAGTAGTCTGGGGAGTCAAAGTACGTCCAAACCCTTGATAGTGACCCACGGGGGAAGGTGGTACAGAAGAGGCAACAGAAATTGCATCTTGTGATGATGATGATAACAAGCTTGTATGTTCATTCTGATCTTGATCCTCGGGAAAAAATTTTTTCCTAGGATGTCCCATGACTGTCCTTCCTTTAAGGTAATATAAAGGTTTCCAAATTAGCCAAAAAGTAAGTATTCGTATTTTGCCTTTATAAACTTATATGCTAAAAATAAGCGCCCCTTCCCCCTCCTTATTTGAAGAGCCTTGTTGTGGTACTGCTTTAAACAAAGTCTTTTAATCTCTTACGGTAAATAGCTACTAATTTGCCCTTACAAAAATTACCTATTTGGATAAATTCAATGACTGGTACTTACCAACATGCCTCACTTGTTCAGAAATATCATCCCTAATGTCTGAAACATCCCACATAGCAAGAAAGGAATCAAAGCATGAGCCCTCTTCTGCTTCTTGGACATATGGTTTATATGAGAAAGTGTAGTGATGAGCAATAGCAGCCAGGAACATCTCAATACAAATAATAAAGTCCTACAATAAAAAAAAATCAATCATCTTTAAGTCTAGTTTTGTAGGTAAAGGGAAAACTATCTTCCTTTTAAAAAAACATATTCCTTTTCAAAAGTACTCAAGTACAATAGGTGGGGTTTTCTCATAAGTATAATCATTTTCCACTTTCCAAAATAATTACTTTTCACCTCAAAAAAAAAAAAACAGCCAAATTTTTAAATCTATTTTGCATTAACGTAGTCAAGTATTTCTTAGCAAATTACATAGAATGCTCAACCCACTGCTCAAGGACTAAGAGAAGAAGTGCAGAAAGATTAACTGACTAGGAATAACAAAAAAAGCAATAACTACAGCTTGCCTATATGTTAGGAAAAGGTAAATGCCAAATCTATATCAAGCATAAAATGAGCAATTGTTTTAAAAATATGCCATTTTAAAAGTTAACCCCAGCACAACCTGTGGACCATCACTACCACCACCACACCCTGCCTTCATAGCATAATCTTGAAGACACTGTCTATATTAAATATACTTTTACTTGCTTTACAAATTTACTCTTCTAGTAGAGTTTCATCACATGAATTTGGATTATGTATTCTTGGAACTTCACTATTTGGTTTATGTCTTTTTGTTTTGAAAGTGTGAACTTAAGTTAGATTTAAGTTCTTCCTATACATGGATGATGCCTAACACACTGTACAATAGGCACTTAAATGAAATAAAAGGTAGCCCTGGCTGGTGTGCTCAGTGGTTCGAGTATCAGCCTGCGCATCAAAAATGGTCACAGGTTCATTCCCCAGCTTCGGTCGTCGGGGTGCCTGTGGGAGGCAAGCAGTTGATGTGTCTCTCTCACATTGATATTTCTCTCTCCCTCCCTTCCATTCCCTCTAAAAAGCAATGAAAAAATATCCTCGTGAGGATTAACAAAAAACAAAAATACAACGAAATAAAGGGTGGATACTTAAATGTTATTTATACGTGTTCATTATTCAAATTATTTAAAAAAAAACATTTGAAACCAGTCTTGTTTGAAGTACTGGAGTTAGAGACAAACTTAGAAGGGGTCTAATTCTAACACAGGGAGTCATACTGAGCATTTCAAGCAAATCTCCGGATGTGACCCTAGGCTAAATTTCATCAGCTAACAATGAGACAGACACATAGTTCTACAGATAAGAATAGTCACTCAATGTTGCTTGTAATGGTGAAACAATTAGGAACCTAAATGCCAATAGGAGATTGGTTAAAAAGTTACATCCACACAACAGAATACTGAGCAAAACCAAAAACCTAAACAAAATTATATTTTACTTTATTGTCAAAGAATTATATCCACAATATACTGAACATAACAAGTTCTTTAAGTTTTTATAGTGTGGAACTTTCTATGGAGTTTTAATAACACAATGTTAATAATTCTGGGTGATGGGATTAAGAATTTTTTCTTTTCCCACTTTTATTTTGTATGCTGTTAAATTTGATGTGTTTCTGGGCCTTTTATCATCCACCATATAACTAAATTGGGACCATGTACAATTTTAACTGTTTTTTCTTGTTGTTAATTCTCACCTGAGGCTATTTTTTCCATTGATTTTTAGAGAGTGGAAGGGAGGGAGGGAGGGAGGGGGTGAGAGGACGAGGAAGAAGAGAAACAGAGAAATATCAATGTGAGAGAGACACGTTGACTGGTTGCCTCCACATGAGCGCTGACCAGGGTTAAGTGTTAAGTATCAAACCTGCAACCAGGTAAGTGCCCTTGACGAATCAACCCGTGACCCTTTGGTGCTCTGGATGATGCTCTAAAGCAGTGGTTCCCAACCTTTTTTTGGCCATGCCCCACCTAAGCATCTCTAAAATCCTAATGCCCCCCTGTGACATATAATTCTTATTATTCAAAAAGTGAACTATTCATGTGCTATTCATGTGGAAGAAGCCTAAAAGGCCATTAACTTGGTCTAAACAATCACCCAAAGAATATGGCATCCATCCAAGAGAAAAATAAAAGAACGAAAGGACAGCTGAAGTACTGAGGAAGAAATCACTAGGAAATGGTTAAGAAAATCATAATAATATGAAGTGATATAAAAAAATAGCACAAAGTTTCAAAACATAATAAAGAATTAAAATGCATAACTTTCACTATATTTATATACTGTATTTGAGGCCCCTTGAACCATAAGAACTGCAAAAAATTCACTGTTAATAACGCATTCTCAAATTTCCCCCCCTTAAAACTCAAATTGCCCTCCTGTGGGGCATGTGCCCCATGTTGGGAACCACTGCTCTAACCAATGAACCCACTGGCCAGCACTGCCTTTAAAAATATTTTTATTTTTTCACTTTATTTTTTTCTTTTTTATTAAGGTATCCTTATCCCCCTATTGCCCCCACCTTCCACTCAAGTCCTCACCTACTAATGAATATTTTCTCACATTATTAAATATTCTATTTTACTGCAAACTGCAAAGTATTCTCTTATGTGAAAACACCATGTTTATTTTAATGATTTCTTTAATGATTCCTCTAGGGTTGAGACATTTCATTTAGGTTGTTTCAAAGTATTCTTTTTTAATTTTTAAAATGTTTTTAATTAATTTTTGGAGAGAGTAAGGGAGTGGGATAGAGAGAGAGAAACATCGATAACATCAATGAGAGAGACACATGGATCAGCTGCTTCCTGCACACCCTCTCCACCCCTACTGGGGATGGAGCCCGCAACCCGGCATGTGCCCAGGCTGGTAATCGAACCAGTAACTTCTTGGTTCCTGGGATGATGCTCAACCACTGAACCCACACTGGCCGGGCTCAAATTATTTTCTTCTTATAAATGTTAAGTGGCCATCTTGCTATTTATTTCCTTACCAAAAACCAAGAAGGGCTAAAAGGATGAACTTTTTAAAAGGTAATTAGAGACATTTTAATTCTTCTATATTAAAACTATTTTAAAAATCCTCCCTAGTCAACAGTTTTATTGTCCTTAGGAAATGAGAACATTGAAGATAAAGTAACACTTACCAAAAAGAAACAAAAACCACCAGCTTTACACAAAGGAACTTGCCAACAGGCTGGAGTGGACTCAGTTCTTCCTTCAGTACTTTATAAAATAGCAGCAGACAGTACATGGCAAACTGGAAACAATCAAGATTAACAATTAAACTCCTTCATTAAGAATAACTAAATAGGCCCAAACCGGGTTGGCTCAGTGGATAGAGCGTCGGCCTATGGACTGAAAGGTCCCAGGTTCGATTCCAGTCAAGGGCATGTACCTTGGTTGTGGGCACATCTCCAGTAGGAGATGTGCAGGAGGCAGCTGATCGATGTTTCTAACTATCTCTCTCCCTTCCTCTCTGTAAAAAATCAATAAAATATATTAAAAAAAAAAAGAGCTTCCTTATAAAAAAAAAAGAATAATTAAATAGGGTGTTAGAAATATTAAAGTGATAAAGCTAAGACCTGGTACAGAGTAATGTTTCAGGCAAATTTTTCTAGGCTTTATTATGGTATTTTTAGATTAACAAGCTTTTATAGTTTACTGTGGATGAATATATATGATATGAAATTTCTCAGAAGAGATATATAACATTTCCCCTGAAAATGGTTTTAAGTGTTCACTTATTGGGGCCCAGAAACAATGAACAAATGACGGCCATGCATAGAAGAAATTAAAACATTATCTGCTTAGTAATGGCTTTTGTACACAAATTATTAATTTTATAAGGGTTGAGCCATTCATTATAAGTCACATTAAAAAAAGTACTTTTCAATAAAACTGTAACCATGATATCTGAAAGTAAGGAATCAGGGGAACAATTTTTCTCGGGGGCAGTATGTTAATCCAGTTTTATTTATTTTTATACAATAAATGCCAAGACTTAACTATTTTATCTTTTTAAAAAAATATATATTTTATTGATTTTTTACAGAGAGGAAGGGAGAGAGATAGAGAGTTAGAAACATCGATCAGCTGCCTCCTGCACATCTCCTACTGGGGATGTGCCCACAACCCAAATACATGCCCTTGACAGAAATCGAACCTGGGACCCTTCAGTCTGCAGGCTGACGCTCTATCCACTGAGACAAACCGGTTTCGGCATCAAGACTTAACTATTTTAAAAAATTAGTTGTAATAACCTAATGTAGTGTTGCATAGCAGTAAACATTTTTCTAAAAGTTTACTTTTTCCATTAAAATAAAATGTTTACTTAAGATATTTAGAATATCAAAACAGTAACATATTAAATTGCTCATAGACCCATCCAACTAAAATGGTTTTTAACAGGCATCATCAACTAAAAACAAAATTTTGTTGCCTGATTATTTCCACCCCCCTTAACCTTACTTTCCATAGGTTTCATAAAAATTATTTTTAATAACTGCCAAATATTTTGGCCAGTGGAAGGACCATAGTACCTTTCACCAGTCCCCACCACTGGGTTTAGGATTGTTTTCAGCCTTTCACTATTATAAACAAGGGCAGGGTCCCAGATTGCGAGAGGGCGCAGGCCAAGCTGAGGGACACCTCCCCCTCCCCCTCCCGTGCACAATTTTGTGCACTGGGCCTCTATATACAATGACAATCAAAGCATAAGTACTTCTGACCATTACTTGAGGATGCATTCCCAGAAATGGAATTACTGGTCCCAAGAATATAAATGTGAGAAAACTTTAAATACACAGGCATTTGGTTAAAAAAATTTTTTTAAATTTTTATTTATTTTTAGAGAGAGAGGGAGAAACATTGACTTGTTTCAAATCTATCCATGCACCCATCAGTTGATGCTTGTATGTGCCCTGACTGGGGATTGAACCTGCAACCTAGGTGTATTGGGATGATGCTCTAACCAATTGAGCTACAGAGCCAAGGCCTGGGCATTTTTATTGATTTTTTTACAGAGAGGAAGGGAGAGGGATAGAGAGTTAGAAACATCGATGAGAGAGAAACATCGATCAGCCGCCTCCTGCACACTCCCCACTGGGGATGTGCCCGCAACCAAGGTACATGCCCTTGACTAGAATTGAACCCGGGACCCTTGAGTCCACAGGCCGACGCTCTATCCATTGAGCCAAACTGGTTAGGGCGGCCTGGGCATTTTTATTCTAAACCTCTAAAATCACACATGCATGCCACATAATCTAAATTACTATTTTGCTGAAAGTATTAAAAGATTTTAAATAAAGTGTACATTAAGTTGAAATAATCAGATAGTTAATATTTGAGCATTTCAGTATCTAGAACATAATTTTTTTAAACTTGGCATTCTCAATTTGCCTTTAATCCCAAATATAGGAAGAATCTTACTGAATATGCCTAGATATTTTTTTAAGGGAGGGCAGTGTGCTTCTATTTATGATATATCCATAAATTGTGCAATAAGTACCCAGAACCAAGTGAACAAACACAATAAGCAGGTCAAGATATGTCACCAAATAATTAACAAAGATATAATACCTTTATATATGTATAAAGATATAAACGACAGCTTCTTGAAATTCTTCCTATAAATCTAACTTCAAGATAAAAAGGTAACAATTAAGCTTTATTCCCAAAGAAATTTTCCCTAAGAATCTAGAGTTATAAATACAAATTTAGTACAGTTAGAATGCATACTTACTTACCAATTGTGACATATTGTTTATTATAACCAAGTAAGTCCAAGCATTTGAAAAACTAAAGTTGCCTTCATCATATACACCAAGCAGCTCACAGATTCTAAATATGATAAAAATGAGATAACTTTATGATTAACTAATAAATACAGCATGGACAGCAATACTTAAATTTAGAAGTCAGTTTATTTAAAAGACCCTATAGATCAGCCGTGGGCAAACTATGGCCCGCGGGCCGGATCCGGCTTGTTTGAAATGAATAAAACTATTGAAAAAAAAGACCGTACCCTTTTATGTAATGATGTTTACTTTGAATTTATATTAGTTCACACAAACACTCCATCCATGCTGTTGTTCCGGCCCTCCAGTCCAGTTTAAGAACCCATTGTGGCCCTCGAGTCAAAAAGTTTGCCCACCCCTGCTATAGGTAATTACTTGATTTTGGTCATAGAGGTGGTTCAAAAATAAAAACATTTTTTCTAGAAATGTTACATGATTGTACCTCCAACTTGAAGTAAATCCACAGTAAGACACAAACACTGAACTGGAAAGGCTATTATATATAGATTCAAAAAAATTATGCTGCCTTATTTTCAAAAGCTTGATTGTTATAAAATGCAGGTCTATAAGTACAACTAATGTTTTCACCCAAATTGTCTTGGAGGTAAATTTTTTTTTAAAGAATAGTTTATTGATTTTTAGGAAAGAAGGGAAAAGAGAGAAACATCAATATGAGAGTGTAATGTGGATGAGCTGTCTCCTGCATGCCCTACTGGTGATCATGCCCTACTGGTGATCAAGCCCACAACCTGGGCATCTGCCCTGTTCGGGAATCGAACCAGCAACCTTTTTGGTGCACGAGATGATGTCCAACCAACCGAGCCACACAGGCCAGGGCTTGGAGGTAAATTTTATGAAGACCCACATCTAAGTATTAACTTATATGATTACCTAGTTTCTAAATTGCAGAAAATAAAGCATACCTTCATAAATAAGTGAATTAGTCTTAACTCTAAGGTAAATATCAGTAAAAATTGCTAGCTCAAAGGCATAATAAAGAATTGAACATTTCTCTCCCTTGTCTTCCCTTTCTTCCTCTGAAACCATGCAGAATGTTAGTTATGACTAGCAGATAAAATATGTAATCTACCTGCTTTAAATTATTTGATGTTTTTAAATTTTTAGGGAATAACTGTTACTAGGTAGCTTAATTTTACCTCAAGTGCTAAGCCTCGACAGAATTATTTAAAAATATGATTTCTACCTTGGAATACAGTGTTCATATTCTAACTTAACTACTGAGAAAATAAAAGCATGCAATGAATCTAAAGTAGCATACTTTAACTTCATGTAATAGATGTTTCTGTAAAGCTATGTGAACTAGTATTTAAAAAAGAAAGTATTTTTTAAATGATTTCTGGAAAGCTCTAGAGAGAATGTTAGTTAGAAGAATTCTGTGGCAAATCTTTGCCTATAAATGATCACCTTATTTCATATAGTTGGGTTTCTATATATCGTGTTTTTTAAATAAGACTACACCTGTGTTATAAACAAGTAAATTAATGTTCTTTATATGTTTTTCTACTCAGTTGTTCCACATAAGAGCATGAGGATTCGGAAAAAAATAAATGATAATAGAAGCTCTATGTACTTACAAAGCAATGATGGTGGTGAATGGTCTGACAACTGTATACTGCAATACACCCAGTTTGCACCTAAACAGCAATACTCTGCCAAAAAAAAAGAACTTAGCATTTTCAACTACTCATTTAAATAGTACCAGATTTTCTGCAAAGTTCCCAAATTAAAGTCACTTTGACAAATGATGCCATATTTATATTTAATTCTTTTAACTTAGTCATTCTAAATGGCAACTGGGGAAGAATGTGGGTGGCAGCAAACAAATTATTTAAATACTATTTTAAAAAATTATTTGACAACTACATCTTCTGCAGGACCCCCTTCCTGTGTATAGTGTCAAATTGGTGAATAGTGCTGCACAGATCAAAAGAAAAAAAGTGGGTCCCTGTGTGTTTCTGGAAGGAAAACTGACTAACAAATGAAGTGCGTGTGTGCATGCGTATGTGAAAGCATGCACACACGCAAGTTAGGAAGTATCATTTACATTTTAGGATTCAGTTTCCTTTCAAGTTTGGTAGTTAAGTGGCATTCCAGAGACTATCATTGACTAGATACTCTGAAAGGACAAAATAAAAATCCTGTATAAACAACAGTTTTTATTCTATTGCTGGGTTCACTCAATATAGAGGAAATTTCATAAGCAGTAACAAACAAAAACAAAAAAGTCCCAAAACACAACTACCAAAAAAAAAGGCTTTCCACCTGAAAGCCTTGTGTAAGTCTTAAAAGACCAAGCAGATCTGAGAATAAATGCTTATTTAGCATTCCTCTATCAGGAAAACTGGTCATCACTGTCATGTATTATGAATCCCCTAACTTAAGAATTACATCTAGAATGAGAATATTGTGAGTCTGGTATGCAGACCTTCAGATGCTGTGTTACTAGGTCTGAATAACTTGGGGTTCTGTATGCTGAGGTGGTTCACTCCCACATACAAGTAAGCATGCTCCCTGTGGTGGTGTGTCTAGGAATTGAACTTGGGCTGTTGCAAGATCTCTTGATGAGCATCCTTTGGCTGCACATGGTGTGCTTCCTGTCCCGTAAGCTTTACAAAGCTTAAGTTGGAGCTGGTTAAACCTATAGTATTCTATGAGCTGATTGCACACCAAACCTGAGACCATTAAGGGTGACTACACAGATGGATTATATAGCCAGTTAGATACCATTGAAAGCTGTGGAGAATTAAAGAACTAGGAGATTTATCTGAAAGAATTGCTGAGACAGAGACAATGTGAATGACAGTTACAAAGAACGAGATAGAATCAATTGTAACATATAATCAGAGTTACAAAAGACTGAGTAGAGGAAAGGCAAAATCAGAAGAGATTATGGCTGAGAACTTTTCAGAACTGATGAAAAACATGAATCTACATTGAGGCACACTGTAAATTAAGCAGGACTGAAAACAAAACCAAAAAAACCTAGATACTTCATAAACTGCAAAACATCAAAGACAGATAAGGTCTTAAATGCAGTTGGGAGAGAGGTCACCTATAATGGAAAGACTCTTAGATTGACAGTAGAGGGTTAACAGTAAAAACCGAAGCCAGAATTAGGTGGAATAAACTCTTCAAAATGCTCGGAAAAAATTCCTGTCAACGTAAGAACTACATCCAGCAAAATATCTTTCAAGAATTACATCCAGCAAAACTATCTTTCAAGAATGAGGGCAAAATAAAGATACTTTGGATAAGTATACAACTAAAGGAATTCTTAAAATACTTTTTTTTAAAAAATATATTTTATTGATTTTTTTACAGAGAGGAAGGGAGAGAGATAGAAAGTTAGAAACATCGATGAGAGAGAGACATCGATCAGCTGCCTCCTGCACACCCCCTAATGGGGATGTGCCCGCAACCCAGGCACATGCCCTTCACCGGAATCGAACCTGGGACCTTTCAGTCCGCAGGCCGACGCTCTATCCACTGAGCCAAACCGGTTTCGGCCTTAAAATACTTTTAAGGAAGTGATTCTAGACAGATGAACTGAGATGCAAGGAGTGAATGTAGAACTTAAAGTAAAATGTATAGTTTTAAATGCATGTTAAAGGAAGAAAGGCTATAGATTAAAAAGCTAAGGCTCTAATATGTTAGGAAAAGAACAAAGTAAACCAAAAGAAATGAAAAAGGAAAAAAACAGAGCAGAAATAATGGAATAGAAAACAAATACATTCTAGAGAGACTCAAAACAAAACAAAAAATCAGTCCTTGAGACAACTAGGGAAACTTCTGGCAAGATTTTTCAAGAATAAGATAAAGATACTAATATCATTAGAAATGGAAAAGGAGCCATCACAATAGGCCCAAGAGAGATGAAGTCATAAACTAATGTAGCCCATATATTTTAAAACTTCATTCTGCCCAATTTCTAAAAAGTGTAACTAAACACACACACACACACACACACACACACACACGATTCCAGAAACAACAGGAAGCCTGACTAGTTCTATAATGTCTTCCCACAATGAAAAGTCCAGGCCTAATCTTTCAAGGTATAGTTCACAATCTCTTCTTGTAATAGACAAATAAAAGGCAGCAATTCCTATTCAGGCAGTATAACCTGGATATCAAAACCGAACAGGGAAGGTATAAGAAAGGAAACTAGTAGTCCAATCTTACTTATGTAAAAATTCTAAACAAAATATTAGCAACTAAATCTTGTAGAAAAACAGATGATACATCATAACCACTTTAAATTTATCCTTGAAAGCAAGGTTTTCATTTTAGAAAATTCACTATATTAATAGGTTAAAGGTGAAAAACCATGATCATTTCACTAGATATAGAAAAAGCATATGATTTTGTCATTAACTAGCTATATCATCTTGAGTAAATTAATTTCTGCAGACCCTGGTTTCCAATTGTAAAAGGGTGTTAATGAAATGATTTTAAGGTTTACACCCACAATATTTTAAGTTTTCTATTTAGAATGAATAATGTAAAAGAAACTAACTTATGTGTGGATTATAAAAATGTGTTGTTTTAGTCTTCAAACTTGACTATGAACTACTCAAGGTTAGGGACTCAGTTTTTTTTGTCCTGCTCATTGTACTTAACACAGCTTTGCAGAGAACTGGCAGCTTAAATAAAACCAAAATATAAAAGAAATAAAACGAAGCATACTTACTCTCCCATAGTCCATGGTGGACAGCAACATAAAGGAGGGAAATGTTTCTGTTGATCTTTGGCTTCAAGGATTAATACCAGATTTGGATATCGGTTAGTTAAATAATTGGTAAGGAATCCCATAAAGTTGTAAATGACGTAAGCTTCGTAACATTCTCTGCAGGTATCCACATATATTGCAATGCTGGGATATTTCAAAGCTACCCACTATAAAAAAGCACAGATGTTAAAAATAGTCGCAGCTAAAATAAAATGAATCACCACTCCAATTCATGGTATTTTGAACTTGCCACATACCAGACAATCTGTGAGGTGAATTTCTAAAAGCAGTAAACATTTTGGATATTGGTAAATGAAATGTCCATGTTTGGGGTAAATAATGAATACAACGAAGCTAAATTACATTCACTTGGGTTGTTAAATAAAATCTGAAATCATTCTTGACATAATCATAGAAAATGCTGTGAAAAACATTTCCTTTATATTGAATCAAATTAAAGCAGTCACCTGTAACAAGTGTGGTAGGATCCATTGGGAAGGTTTTTTTGTTGTTGAAATGGAAGATTTAGTAAGTAAAAAGGATGATGATATCAATTTAAACATTGTATTCTTTTAGGGCTAAGAGCTATTAATCTGAAATTTTAAAAGATCAAGCAAAAAAAACCAGCTATAGTTTTTTTGTTTTTCTTTTTTAAAATAAGAGAACGCTTATTTAGAAAATCATCATAGAAGTAGGAGTGAATGGTAGAAGAAATGGGCTCAGGAGAGAATGGACCTGGGCGCAGGAGGAAGAAGAGGGGAAGAGGAAAGGTGAGGGAATGCTCAGGGGAGATCGCTAACAGCTATAGATTTTTAAAAATGTTAAATGTCTGCCTTCTCTAGTGTCATACTTTACCTTCTTTATCAACATTGAAAACAAGTGAACCTTTTCACTTTCTTCTTAATTTGATTCTTAGTGTCAAATACTGTCATTACTTTAAGCATTCTGCAAGTATAGTTAGTATCTTCAAAAAAGTCCTTAGCTGGAAACCAAGATGGCAGCATAGGTAAACACCGGAGTTTGCTGCCTCGCACAACCACTTCAAAAATACAACTAAAAGACGGAACGGACATCATCCAGAACTACAGGAAGGCTGGCTGAGTGGAAATTCTACAACTAGAAGGAAAGAGAAAAGTATACGGAGACTCAGAGGAGGTGCGGTGCGGAAGTAAAATACTAAGGTGCAGAGGTGCATGCGCAGCGAGCTGGCGGCTGAGGGCGTGGTTGTCGTTTTCAAACCACTTCAAATACAACTAAAAGACGGAACGGACATCATCCAGAACTACAGGAAGGCTGGCTGAGTGGAAATTCTACAACTAGAAGGAAAGAGAAAAGTATACGGAGACTCAGAGGAGGTGCGGTGCGGGGGTGTAATACTAAGGTGCAGAGGTGCATGTGCAGCGAGCTGGCGGCTTGAGGGAGCGGTTGTCGTTTTCAATCGGCAGGGAGTCTCAGGCTCTGGGCTCCAGTTCCGGGCGAGTCTTTGGGGACCCAGACTCATACGGGAGAAGCAGGACTGTCTCGCATCGG